GCAGGAAACACCAGGGTCTAGTGTCGTCACAGGTGCTCATCCCCCGGAATAGAGAGCAGGCTTCAGAGATGGCAAGAGAATTTAAGGTGCTAAAAGTTCTGGGGTCAAGTCTTTTCCAGGACAATGTAGCTCAGAACCCTGGGGTCCCTTCCCGGGAAAGGGGTACCTCCTGCCTCAGGCAGGCAGTGGAAAGCCCTCTGCCACCTGGACAGCAGCTGGACTGAGGCTGAGGCAAGAGCGACACTTGGTTAGATTTCGGGGATGGGGTGGGGAGGGGGAGGTCCAAGCTCCAACGTGTGCCCTGAGGCTCCTCATGGTTTTAAGATTTATTTATTTATTTGACAGGCAGAGATCGCAAGTAGGCAGAGAGGCAGGCAGAGAGAGAGGAAGGGAAGCAGGCTCCCCGCTGAGTAGGGAGCCTGATGCAGGGCTTCATCCACTGAGCCACCCAGGCGCCCCCTCCTCATGGTTTTTAAAAGCAGCTGCCTCATGCGAGATCAGTAGGTTAGACTCCTAGGACCCACACATCTCTTAGTTCTTTCAGCTGGAAAACGGATGCTCTTAAGTCCGGAAGCTGTTTGGGCCCCAAAACTCTATCAACATCTGCTCTTAAAACCTCAGTCTCACAGGCTGCTGGAATAACCTCTTGGGTCACTGTATCCCGTGATGCGGTTCCTGTTTCAGAGACTGGAGTTCGGAGTCACAGAGCCTCGGAGTGAGAACCTACCATCTGAGGGACCACATTTCAAAGATGAATCCAAGGTCAAGGTTTTGGACCTTGAGAGGTCTGGTCAGGGACCACCACCTGCACAGAATCTGCTGCATGTTCTGCTCCTGAGCACTGGGGGCAGCCCGGGGAGCCGTGGCTTGCCTGCCCCAGGAGAGGTGCTCATTCCTAGCAGAGCGCCACTCCCTAGGTGGCCCTACTCTCCCTCTCCCTGGTAGACACACAGCTGGGCCTACCAGAGAATCCATTAGGAGGCAGTGTGGAATAAAGGAAGGTTGGGAAAGTGAGTAAGGAGAAGAAAACAGTGGAAGAGAGTTTGGGGGAATGAAAGCATGTGACTAAGTTTTCCCTTTGTCCGAAGGGCCTTCAACAAACCCCAACACGTCCCGTAGACGGGCAACATCGCCACCTGGTGGCCATCAAGGGCACATGCTTAGGAAAAGAATGGAAGCGCTGAGCTCATCAACCCGGCGCTAGCCTTCTGATGCAAAACCCACCCTGCCCCCACCCTCCCGGGTGAGGCTGGCATTTGGCGCAGGGGGGAACCTATTTAGGCAGACTGCCCCCGCCGCCTGTGAACTCCGGGCCAAGTGAGTATCCTTCTCTCGGCATTAGCCGACAGGGTCTAGGAGATCTGGGCTGACATGCAACATGGAAGCTGAACCTGCTGCCCCACAGGAAGGCAGGTGGGGACCTTCAGGCTACAGGACTTCACAGGCCTTCAAGGTGTGGACAAGCCTCCCAGCCAGCCTCATTTACAGTCAGCAGTCACCTGCCACTCCAAGTGCAGAGACAGGCCTCTGGAGGTGGGGCTTCTTAGTTACCACTGTCTTAGGGTGACACTCCCTTCCCACACCCACCCAGTCATCTTCCTCTGTAAGGGCTTCTCAGACACAAAAACAAGCCAGAGTCTGCTGCTGAGAGGAGTCAGATGAACAAGGAGGGTGTTTGTTGTTGCTTTTAAGAAAGGGCTGAGTAATCATTGAGGCTATCATCTTATTGATCAAGGTCCAGCCATTTGCCAAGGTATATACACATTTTATTTAAAAAAGTTTACAGTTTTCATTATACACAACTATTAAGAGGTTATAGTCAGAGGAGGCATTTGTCCTGTTGACAGAAGTGCCCGCTAGATCATCACAATGCAAGGAGAAAGGTGGGAGGGAGGAGAGGGCAAGGAGAAAATAAGTGATAAAAAGCTTAGATTTCAATTAAGGGCTGGTAAGTCCCTTTTCTCTCTTCAAGTATCACACAATATGTACCAAATACAATCAGTAAATAATGGCCATTTCTTCCCAAGCCCACAGCCAAGACGAGTATTTGCCGAAGTGAGAGTCCTGGCCCTTCCTCAGGTGGGTGGAGACCCCGCCTGCCCGATCAGGGTGAGCTCCCCCTTCCCCCAGGGGCCTCCACCCCAATCCTTGATGGAACCGCCAAGGTGTTCAGTGGCCAGAGAAATTATGAACATGGATTCAGAAGTCCAAAGAAAACACAGGTCTTTGTGCCCAATCAGGAATAATTTGATTTAAGTCAAGAAGGCCGTGAACCCGGTTAGAAGTTGGTAAAAGAACTCTTACTAACGGCTTTCATTTTTTCTGATTGAGTCCCTAGAACGTAGAAGGGCCACGAGCCATTTAAAAATCAAACACCAGTTCCCAGAAACTTGGGTGTCTAGAAACTTCCCCCATGAAGGCTAGCAGAGGATCTGTCTTTCATTATTCTAGCCGTAACAGGAGGCCTAATGAAAAGCAAGTGTCAGGCCAAGGCTAATCAACTTCAGAGAGCATTTTGAGGAGGAAAAAATTCCTTCGAGGGGAGACACTCCTCAGGAGCTTAGATCAGCCAGTTGGCAATGAGAACAGCTTCTGAAGTGGAAGGACTTTAGGTACTGGAGAGACATATGGCAACTTCTGAAAACTACCTTACTAGTAGAAAATGCTGGTTGAAACTGCACAGTCACCTCAAGGAGGGTGACAAGATCAAAGACAAAAGAGCACAATGCCAGCATCTAGCTTGGCTACCACGAAATGCAACCTGCCAGACCCCGGGGCTGCCCGAGAGCAGCGGGCTCCGGGCTGCGGCTGCAGCCACCTCACTTGTCGGTTTTGGCGAGCTGGAGCTCGGTATTTGAACAGGGGCAAAGGATGGCTTGCGCTGGTCAACCACAAGGTGAAACTTGGAAACTATGGGTATGCTAAGAAAGGGAGGGAAACTGCCAGAAGCAACTCTGACCTACCACCACCACCTTTAAAAGCAATCATGTTCAGCCCCACTGAGGGGCTCTGGATGCTTTTCTGAGTGTTATGACGGGAAATCTGGAAAAGTTTCCGGAGCTGTCACACCCCCTCTTCTAGCCTTACTGTATCATCAACCACTGGAGGCCAGAGTCCTCTGATTCCCAGCCAGGCTTTCTTCCAGCTCCCTCTGTACCTAGAAGCACGGTCGTCTTCTCCTGGCTACCTCCCCCAGGTACAGGAAGGGACAAAAAGCTAGCGTAAGGAGGATTCTGTTCAACTCATCAAAAGCCAGTTTCTCAGATGAGAGGGAAAGCCCCACATGGAGCCAAAAGCATGCATGGGACCAAGGTTAGTGCCCAGAAAGGACAGATCTGCACGGAACCAGCAGGTACAGCGTGATCTGGGTAGCCACAGCCATTCCAGGAGCTTCCTGCACTAACAGGGAAGCCTCAGTACACCTTCATCAGACAGACTTGGATGGACAGACACACACGCACACATGCTGCAGCCATACTTGGGATCTGCTTCTTAACCCCTGCGACCTCCCGCGACACGTCTTCATTTGGATATTCTGCACCACCAGACTCCCAGTGCCAGAGCGTTCAATCCACGGCGAGCCAATGTCTTTTTTGAGAAAAAGGTATTTAGTCGGGGAGCAGAGCTGTGGCTCACATACATTCCCCCAAACTTGGCTCTACTTGTTTTGTTTTGTCTTGTTTTTGACAAGATTAAAAGCAATTATTATCTGGACATTATTTTTTTTGAAAGGTAATTAGAACACTATTGTTTATACAATATTGAAAAAATACAATTTTTATTGTTTGAACTCAAATCACCACCCAGCACTTTTAAAGCCTACCCTAAGTCGCACCTACAATTTAAACGGTTATAGCACAAGCAAACTGCTAATTCAGCAGGTAAGCATGTTAGCGCCAGCAGAGACCCTCCCTCCCCCAAAGTAAGAGAAGACAACGCGCTAGAGAAGTTAAAGCACACCATTCCATGTTAAATAGTTAACACTACCCCTCCAACAAGCCACAAATGCTAGATAGATAAACTCGGTACGGTTAACTAACCACAGCCCTACGTAACTGCACTTTAAATTTTTTTTTTTTTTTAAAGAAAACCTTTTGCTTCATGCCCGTAATTAACATAAATTAAGAAAATTCTTTGTCTTTTAGGAAAATAATCATGCTAAAAGCAAGTTGTACTTTATATAGATTTTCAAAGAAAAGATTGATTGTGCTTTTTGAATAAAAAAAGATAGGGTATCTTCCAACCTCACTGACTCCAATCTTGTAGAACACAGATAGCACTTCTAAACTAAAAACACACACCAGAAAGAAAAACTCAATTATCCCAGTGGGACATTAAAAAATGGTCTTTAGAAGGTTTTAGGATTGGCTAATTCTGCTAATGTCCTATTGGTTGTGGCAAAAAAGGGATACAGACTTGCTGTCTAAGGTTCTCCAAACTCAGCAGGCAACACTCAGATTCGAAAGAAACTCTGCCGGCAACCTGGACATATGGTGAGCTGAGTAAACATTTGATTAGCAGGCATTTTAAACTGTCTGATTTCCTTTTAACACATACAGGAGAGAATATGTTCTTCCTTCAAAACCTGTTCTACTGCATCGTATTTCCGAACGCTTTCCTCTTAATTCAGTCACACTCCGAAAAAAAGCAGTTTGTTTTTCCCGTGTATAGTCACTTTGGGTACAAGGACCTTTATTTGTTCCAATTATTACTCATTTTCAATTTAGAATATGTGTTGGGTCTAAAATACCCATTTCCCACTCCCACAAGCAGATGATGACCAGGTTGCCACCAAGAGCGGCAGCAGAAGGGAAAACAAAACCAAAAACATGAAGGGGAGGAGAGTACTCGGGAGTCACAGCCACCAGACGGGTCTTCTTGCCGAGTCTAATGGTCCACTGAGCGGCTGTCCAAGGAGGAGGCCATCTCTTGGTAGGTGAAGATTAAATTTGCAACCTAAGCACAATTCACACACACACACCATTTTAAAAATAAAGGCAGGGGAGCTGGGGGGAGGAAAGGAAGGGAAAGAAAAAAAAAAAAAAGCTCCAACCCAAACAAAAACACCCACAACCACCCTCAAATTTAAAGCTCTCAGTCCAGGGCAGCGGTCTCAAAGTGGCCTAGAGGACAAGGAGGCGACTCTGCAGGTGCTGCATGAGACAAAGCACCTTCCCGGTCACTCTACTTCTCCTGTCCTGTCCCCTCAGAAAGCTACGGATTATAAGCGCTACCCCAAGAAAAAGAATCCGGTTCAGAAAACACTTCCAAGAGGTTCTCCAAAGCAAAAACACTTGTGGCTGCAGGGCCTGCTAGTGAGTCGGGCAGGAATCTACATATAAAAATGTACTTAAAGTCCAGAGTCAGAAATTGTTTTACGCTTCAATACTCCAATTAGCTCCCTGTTTTCTACTATTACTCCACAGAAACGGGGCCACCTGGGAGTCCCAGGAAGGAGCGGCTCCGGCTCTGATGCGGCCGGCTCCTCGTGCTCCCACAGCAGGCCTGGTCCTCCCCCAGTTCCTCCCGTCCATTTTGAAAAAGCACTATTCTATCTTCACGTCCAAGAGCTGGATGGTTTGGTTTGTTTCTTTGGAACCATCAATAAAAGAAGCAACTCTTTTCCTGTTATCCTTACTCACGTCTATCTATCGGAGTGGCTATTTGACAGCTGAGCAGCGCACAGGCTGACCTGGCCGAGTGGACTTGTGAATGCATGCATTCAGACCGCATATTGCTACCAAAATGGAATGTGGGAATATGCTATGCACCTCAGATTGAGAAATGACCAAGAAATCAAGATCTAAAGGGTGATATATAATATATATATATCAATGCTATTATTCATAAAAACCTTGTTTAGTAATAAAAAAAATTGCTTTGTTTAAATATGAATATTATAGTCTGCTTCTCATGGTTAGGAAATAATAGTCTTTCTGAAAAGCAGGTGCTTTTTCTACTACAACTCCATATCCTGGGCCTCATCTTCCGAAAAGTCAGACATAGAACTCTCCGACGAGCTGTCACCGGTGCCCTCCTCCTGCTCTTTCAGTGCCTCCTCTGTTGCGTATTTCTGGATGTACTCTGCACAGGGGGTGGGGAGGAAGAAAACACAGGGGCAGTGAGCAGGCAGGTCTGTGGTTCAGTGACCCCAAAGTTGGCGCGGGGCTGGGGAAGTTCAGGCCTTCCTTACCTGCCAGGCTATGGTCACTATAGCTAAGGGGAGACCCCACGGAGGATGTCTTTGGCATTCGTGCATTCTACCCCCTTTGTAAGAGAGGCGAAGCAGAGCATCTGACGTGTAGGGAAGAGACACAGACTGCACCTCCAGCCCCAAACTCCCCAGTGCCATCACCTCCCAGGTGCATGTGTCCGAGGCAGCCCACCGCCCCAGGCCTTGGCTGCGAATCAGGAGAGAGCCGGCAGATGTCCAGGATGGTGTCTGGTGTGAACTGGCCTCCAGTTCGGCCGCCAGGCTGCCCTCGCTCTTGCCTCGTTGGCTTATCCATATGGCCACGCTCCTCCAAACTTGCAGGACTGGGGACATGTGGACCCCCTACTTTCTCCTTATCTCTGTGTTAAAAAAACTATTCACCTCCCAGGCAGAGCAGGACTAGTTATGATTCCACAGTAATTTATAAGGAAATCCCCCATCATTTTCAGACTTGCACTTATATAATTACAGTCAGCCCAAATCCATTATTTTAGGAACAGATTTTAGTCTAAACAGATCCTGCCTGTCAGGTTTCTGAAGCAGCTGGTGAAAACGGTCTCTCCATCCGCTCGGGAGCGAGCTGCTATCTGGAGACACAGCGAGCCTGAGCAACTCGATCATCTACTACTCACCTGAAGATCTGGCCGAAACAAAGTTTTAAGAACTGCTGAACAAACAACTTGTTCCTAAAAACTCTAAGCGCACACTGATTTTCAGTAAATGGCCTACACACAGTATGAAGAGACAAGACAGGACCTACTGAGAGAGTCAGCAGGAGAGAAACACGCCCTCATGTCCTTACGCCGTGTTTCTCTCCTACGGAGTCACAGGCACTGAGCACAAGAGTAAGAGAAGGAAAATGGCCAAAGGAGCTGGCCAAGTTTGAATAATGTAACACAGGGGCCTAGCTAAGAGTATTTCTGATATATTTAAAGCCAGATGCAGGGCTCGATCCCAGAACCCTGAGATCATGACCTGAGCTGAAGGCATATGCTCAAATGACTGAGCCACCCAAGCGCCCCTAAAAGGTTGTTTAAAAAAAAAAAAAGGAAAAAAAAAGAAAGAATGCGTGACAGAGACTACACGTGGTCACATCTGGCCCTTTACAGAAAAGTTTGCAGACTTCTGACTTAAAACCCTACAAATTCATTACATGAAGTTTTAGGCAGAGAAGAGACTTCAAAAGCTCCTGATTAGGTAAGAACTCACCTGAATTTACCTCTTAGAAATGTTTATTATAGTCTCAGAAAGGTTATTTTTACCCTCTAATCGGTCAGCTACTTCACTGCATTTGTAGAAAGAAGCTGCTGCACTTTGACATTTCTCACGGACACTGTAAGGTGATATTATTAGTCTTCTTTAGTATATTCGAGGAAATAAATATGTTTTAAGTGCTTAGCATACTAGGACATGGCCTTTCAGGAGACAGAAAAATTAAGAGCAAGGTCATTCCTGAGCGGGAGGCCAGATGCCGATGAAAGGAGTCAGCTGCCAAGTGCGACTGGGGGAAGCGTGAAGGCAAGGCCTCTGGCCTCTTAAAGCGAGGAAGGCAGGCACATCTGCACTGACCCTTGAAGGAATTCTCAGCTGTAGCACAGGACATGCCATTCCAGGTGAAAGGCACAGCCTCACCAAAAGCAGAGGGGAGGGGGTGCCTGGGTGGCTCAGTGGGTTAAGCATCTGCCTTCAGTTCAGGTCACGATCCCAGGGTCCTGGGATGGAGCCCTGCGTCCAGCTCCTCCATCAGAGGGGAGTCTGCTTCTCCCTCTCCCTCTGCCTGCTGCTTCCCCTGCTTGTGTGCTCTCAAAAAATCTTAAAAAAAAAAAAAAAAAAAAGCACAAGGGAGAAACACAAGGATGTGAAAACACAAGGCCAAGAACTACATTTGTTCTTTGAAGCAAATAAGGCAAAATGTACAGTAGGTCCTACTGTAGTTGGATGGTGAGTATATGGTTATTTTCTGGGTTTTTTTTTTAGGTTGACACTTACCCTATGGAAGGGAATGTAGCTGAGTATCTGAAACTCATTCAGTGTGATGGTCACATATTGCTACATTTAGGAATGAAGGTGAAGATGGAGATCACACACAGTGAGAGAGAGCCATGAATGGCAGGCTAAGATGCGGAGTGTGTGTATCTTTAGACAGTCCCCTGGTGCTCCTCCTACATGCAGCTCCTATCTACATGATAAAAAACGTCAACTTAATGTGAATGCTAACAAAATCCATGGTAAGAAAAGTTACACACGCTGACCTGTGAGGCTAGGCAGAGAAATGTCTCCTGGTAGCAGCCTGGGAGAGAGGTCCCATCTAGACATGTTTTTGGAAATCACCTACCTGGAGGGAATCACCTAAAGCAGTGAGGGGTGAATCAGCTCCCCAAGTGGTGAGGGGGGTGAGGGAGGGCTGAATGACCCGAGAGGCTTAAGACAATGACCATGTCTGGGAATGGAATGAGAAAGGTTTTCAGGAAGGGAAAGGGCAGAACACAAAAGCTGCAGAGAAGTCGGGAAAACAGGTCTTGAGCAGAGTGCACATGATTAGGGAGACAAGGGAGTCATAGATTATCAGAAGAGGAGGGAAAACGAACTAGCAGGGGTTTAGGGCGAGGAAGTAAGAAGTTTGAAAATGACAGGAAATCAAGAGCAGGACTCCTAAAGAGGTCCACAGGAGCAGACAAAAGCTTCTGAGTGGGGGATGCCTCCGACAGGCTGGGTGCAGAGGAGAAACCAGTGGTGGGAGGCAGGGGAGAACAAGCCCCCTGGCTGGGGGAGGGGGCACGTCTAAGCCATCAGGATAGTTCTTACAGTCCTGATTTTCATTACTCAGGAAGACAAAAATGATAGCCAACACTGACATTTCAGAAAGCAAAAATTCCCTAAGCTAGAGCTTGCCATTCTAAAATAAAAATGTACATTGGATTCCTTCTGTAACTGGTACTATAGCAGATATGTACTAAAACAGGAATAGTGCTAAATTGCTGAGGCATAACGAATGTAAGAACTATAGAAATATCTCCACAGCGAGATGTCTGTGGGCTGCAGACACTGTTAAGGGATTCCTGTGTCCCAAGTTTAATACAGTCTCATAACAGAATTTCATCTGGTGGAAACGGACTGCTTTCTTTCCTCTTGAAATACATGTTTGGCTATACAGATATTCTGCTACATAAATTAGATATTAATTTCCAAGGACACCTGAAACCCAAGTATATTAACTGAAGTCGATTTATTTATCTCAAGAGAAGTACCAAACAGTACCCTACAGGAATCAGAGAAGAGCGAGAAAACCAAAGGGAAGCCTCAGATGCGCCTATCTCATGCCTGCACAGTTAAGAGTGAAGACATACATATTCCAGGCTCTTGTAAATTACTTCTACTGCCACCTCTTGCAAACGGACCTCAGAGGGGCCACACAACCGGCAGAAGCTGACAATCTTCAGGCAAGTCATGCTAACAATTAGGTAACAATGGCCGCCATCTGGTAAGGAGAGCAGGCCTACTTTCATGGACTTTGAATTCCTTTCCTTTCTGGTGGAACTTATCAAGACTTTTCACTATGAAGGTACTCAAGCACACGGAGAGGTAAAAATGAATACCAGTAAACTGGTGTGAAGTTACAGATGTTCTTTCAAAACCACAAGTTCATTTTAATGAACTTCATGTCCCATTAGCAGGTAACTTTCAGAGTGAGAAAGGAGGATTCCAGATCGTAAAGGATGAGCAAATGAGCGCTCCTACCACGAGCACATTTCTACCTAGCACAGCACATTTCAAGTTTTAATAGAAAACTGGGCCCTGGGGCCAGCTATCTGCACCAGACAAGAAATGCGCCCAGGTGTAAACTTGCCAAAGTGAAAGAAAATCAGTATGGGGCCAGGGAAAGAAACTAGCTGGATATTCTTAACTCAACAGGTAAAATGATACAATAAAAAAAAAGTGTAAGGATAAATTTGGCATTTCCCAACGTCTAAAGTTAACAGCTTTCCTGACGGGCCAGGATGATGAGGTCTGTAAACAAATGGGAGATTATGCCTTATCCTTTACTACTTCATTCTTGAGTCCCAATTTTCTAATTCTACAAGACAAGAGGAAGCAAATGAAGGCCGTGGTTCTGCTGGACAGGGGTCCGTGGGGATTTCCACCACACCTGGTAAGTGCCCTCCCCAACTTTCTCATCTTTCCTTTTGCTCTTTCTCACTCCTTCTCGTCTTCCTTGCTGGGACCTTCAGCCTTCCCAAGGTGTGGATGACCCCTTGGAACTCCAGGGGCTAGTGAGTTCTGCTCCAGCCCACAGACAGTGGTCTCTTTTAAGGCCTGAGAAAAATTATTATTAACTAAGAAAGGCATTTAATGATCTTAAAAGGCACTTAAAGCCCAATACATGTTAAGTTTTTCTGTCTCTAGGTTAAACTATTTGCTCGCTCACCTTTAATTTTCTGCTTGTATTCTTCTGGTCGGTGGAGGTACATCGCTGCAGCATCACCGTTCAGAGGATCTATGGGGTTGGGATAGGCCAACAACTGGGGCAGGAAGGACTCAAATATATTGGTAAGATCTGAAAAAACAAACAGAAATATATCATGCATGGAATAAAACAAGTTCACCTAAAATTCACTTGAGTTCAGTAGTCAACACTGCTTATCTTCCGAAATAATCAGCCACATGGACGTTTTCCGTAACAGTGTGCTCTGTTACATGTGAGCTCTAGCACACAGGCTTTTCGGTATCAATTTTAAAACTTAAAATTTAATTTTGCTTTGAAGAATCAGATGAAGGTGTGTCTGATATTCACTTCCAAAGGCAGTTGTCCCAATTCTAATTCATTCCATGTTCTAAACCAAGAATTCAGAAATACTACAGACATTAATTAAAATGCATGCCCCGAAACTCCACAGCACTCTACAGTCTTACAAAATGAGTAGTTATCTCTTAATATTGCCTTTTACTACAGCTTTGAAAATTCCCACTCTGGAAAGTATTCAAACGCCAGATCTCAAAAGAAGTTTTATAGGCCTTGATGTTTAATTCAATTCTCATCACCTTTAATGGAGGTAAACAGAACCAGTTTTTTCATTCTTCTGGCTAATGAAGGTAGGAACCTACATAGGCCACTTAAAATCACAGATAATCATGAGATAGAGAAGTACCAATTTACTGAATTTATTAATAATCATTTTAATAGACACATATTAGCTCCCTTCTTGCCAGATGCAGCACAAGGTGCTGGGTGTACAGCGATGACATTTCACACACGGCAAAGTCAGCAAGAACTTTGCAGCCACATAGTGCTTTGTAAAGGAAATGGGCCTTGCAAACCTGTAAAATAAACTACACATTTCCATCACTTCAGAGATGCGGTAACGTCCGTTCCGTTTGGCCCTCAGCAGTCAACTGGGGAATCTTAGTGCCTCCAGCTCTCTGCCCTCCTTCAGTTACTCTATCATGTTTTGTGGAAAAATTTCTGTTTCTGGGGGGAAGGCTAAAGCACAGCAGCATAAGAACCACTCCTAACATTTATTCTGCTCTTTTATGATATTTTTTCCCCTTTACAACGAGCACTCTGATGCAGTCTTCTAAGTGAATGTCTGCTCATGTCACATCACTGTGGTTCTCAGGGAGGCATGGTTTTGCTCCCTGGCAGACATCCTGTGATGTCTGGAGAGATTTTTGGTTGTCACACCTGGAGGGCGGAGGGGAAACCAGTGGTGCTAGCAGCCCTCCCAGTGAGAAGCAGGGACGCGGCTAAACACCCCACAATGCACAGGACAGCCCTTTATAACAAATAATTATCTGGGCCAAAATTCAACAGTGCTGAGGTTAAGAAATCCTGGTCTAGGTAAAAGGGGTTGATAAACTTTTTCATAGAGGGCCAGAATAAATACGTTAGACCTTATGGGCCAGGTTTGGACTCTCTTTTAACAACTCAACACCTAATTTGCCACCGTAGCACAGCAGCACTCATAGATAATGGGAAAACAAAACGGGTGTGACTGTGTTCCAATCAAACTTTATATACAAAACCAGGCAAACATGTGCCACTCTCTGCTTTAGAAAACCCCATGAGTAACAGCTCTTCCTCGTCAGTGTAAGGCTTCCCTAACGGTCAGGGTGCGCAGCTGGAGAATAAGCTGGAGCTGCACCGTTTAATGCAACTTTCCGCATGATGAGAATGTTCTGCATCGGCACCGTCCAATATGGCAGCTGCTGGCCACATGTGGCTATGGACGCGCTATGGCTGGTGTGACTGTGTGACTAAAATTTTCATTTTATTTAATTCTAACTTACATTTAAGTTAGTACACATGGCTAGTAGATCCCATATGGGACAGCACAGGTCTAGACAGTAACGTCACCTGTTCCCACGCACCATGCAGACATAGAGGTTTACCTTAGGCATCAAGTAACAGAGACTTGGTATTATTCCATGGACTGGAGCTATTTCAGCTTCCTAAGGCTAACTTCCCAAATAACCATGTCATGGTAAGATTCCCACGTGTCAGGAGATAAATGGAGAGATTCCTCATCAAAAAAGCAAAACAAAAATAATCCTCCAAGATAACCCCCCGTCACCTGTAGTAAGATTTTCACTGACGTTATGCTTAAAAATTTTTTTTAAAAAGGAAGCAACATATTCAACAAACCAGTAATTATTCATGGTACAAAACCAATGAAAACTACTCAAAAGGCTAAAGAGTCGGAAAAAAACACATAACTCTGATGTTGGGGGATGAAGTCCTTAAAATGGTATGTTCTCTAGAATTATAACTATGTACAATACATGTGCATAAGGATATTTAAAAAGTTATCTCAAGGCAATATGCTTGCGACTTCTCCTTTTCACACATCAAGTGACACTGCTTTTTTTTACCCTTTAACAATAGCATTTTCCTATGAATACGTCCTTTCTACTTTTGCATGTGTTTGAAATATTTCAGTAAAACATAAGTCTAAAAAAAATCAAGGTAAATACATTCAGAAGGAAAAAAACAAGGGTATGGAAGTTTTACAAACTCAGTATGATCTGGGAGCAGGGAAGAGTTAACAAGACTGACACCAGCACTAACAACACTAACCAGAACGGGAGCAGCAACAGCCTGCACTTACAAAGCCCTCACTCCAAGCCAGGCCTCTCTGAGTACTTTATGTGCACACTCAGTTTCACTACAGCCAACGACCTCGGTACCATTACTATCTCCATTTTGCATATGGTGGAAACTGAGGCACAGAGAGGTTGGATAACTGCGTTTCAATCCGGGGCTTATCCACCATGCTGCCTCTGTCAATAGATGAAATGAGCAGTGTCGAAACTTTCATGAAGGCACAAGCTACCCACATCTTGGCATTAAAACTGCATATCCTCACAGATGGCCACCCCAACCCCCACCCCGTGCACAGTCTTCCCTACTCTCAAGTTCAAGGCCCATAGAATGTTCTCTAAGCAGAGAATGTTAAGGGATTTCTGTGGCTCTGTTGGATACTTCGCAGAGGACATGTGCTTACTCTCAAGGAGCTAAACCACAGAAAGTAGCCCACGGCCTCAGAGACACCCACACATGGTGATCTGGGCATTCTCCTGTCATATCAGGGGCTACTCAGAAACATTAGCTGATGAATATTCCTATCAAACAACAAAAACCTTTAAAACACACACACACACACACACACACACACACACACACACACACACACACACACCCACCCACCCACCCAAAGTGTAGGTTTTATTCTCTTTAAGTAATGTTCAGAAGTGCTTGAGGACTTGAGAAATAGAGCAGATGACATGCTTTATAACTAGGTGTTTTCTGTGTTCCAAGAAGGGATTCTTATACCTTTTCCCCACTATTTTTAAGTTTTTTAAGCTACCAGAAGTGACCCTGCCTAGGTATTTGTTCCCCAAAAGTAAAGAACCCTCAATTATTTGTTCTACCTTCCTATGTTTGTCTTCCTGCATTAACACACTTCTGATCCATTTTACAGATGTGCTGAGTCACGCCTGTAAAACAGAAGAGCAGAAAATGTACACAGCCCAGGTTCTGGGTGAAGAGGACAGCATTTGAAGACCAGCGTGTTGTGGCTATGGCCATTTTATTTTTTATTTTTAGATTTTATTTATTTATTTGAAAGAGAGACAGAATGGGAGTGGGCGGCAAAGAGAGAGGCAGACTTCATGCTGAACAGGGAGCCCAACATGGGACTCAATCCCAGGACCCTGAGAACATGACCCGAGCCAAAGGCTGACCCTTAACTAAGCCAGCCAGGCAGGTGCCCTGCCACGGCCATTTTTAAAACAAGTAACACAGCCCTGGGAGTGGTTAACAGAGTGATTACTACTGAGAGGGTCCTCTCCAAGGAAACATCTCTCCAAAGTTACAGATAAAAATCTTCTTTCAAGTTAAGTGTTGACAGAAGAAATCTAAACTGGGGTGCCTGGGTGGCTCACTCAGTTAAGCATCTGCCTTTAGCTCAGGTCATGATCTTGGGGTCCTGGGATCGAGTCCCACGTTAGGCTCCCTAACCTCAGTGGGGAGTCTGCTTTTCCCTCTCACTGTGCTCCTTCCCCTGCTTGTGCTTTCTCTAATAAATAAATAAAAATGTTAAAAACAAGACAGAGAAGAAGAAACCTAGACTGTAAACTGAAAGTGAAATGAAGAAACCTTCCTTTGGAAAAATACATTATAAAATGAGGGGGTTTTCCCCCTACAATTTTTAATAATGGTAATAAAATATGAACATCTCTCACTTTAAAAGTCTTTTAAAAAAATATTAATCGGGGGTGCCTGGGTGGCTCAGTGGGTTAAAGCCTCTGCCTTCGGCTCAGGTCATGATCCCGGGGTCCTGGGATCGAGCCCCGCATAGGGCTCTCTGCTCAGTGGGGAGGGGAGTCTGCTTCCCCCTCTCTCTGCCTGCTTCTCTGCCTACTTGTGATTTCTGTCAAATAAATAAAATCTTTAAAAAAAAATATTAATCGTCCACTTTTTGAAAGGGAGAGAACCAGACACACAGAACACCCCAATCTCAAGATTACAGTCAGATAGTTCCATTACTGGCTGCCTTAATTTTTAAAGGAAGTCCAAAGATCCCTGAAAGTATGGTTTATGACAAGCAAACAGCTCTTACTTTTGCTTTGGACTAAATCAGCACTTACAAAAATGCAGTCCATTAAGATGTGGTTCTTCAGCCTGACCTTACAGTATTAATATTAACAATATTACAACACTCATTCCTCAGTTCAGGCACTTAAACTAATAATTTGTATTCATATTTAATTTTTAAATACACCAAATCATACTGCTCTCTCATCAAAAGCAGCACTATTTACCCCCTTCAGCCCAGAGCAGTGGTTCCTAGTTAGTCTAGATCCTCAATGTTTGTCCATCAAAATTACCTGTGGAGTTTTTCCAAACCCTGCACACTGAGGCCTCATTACCTACACCATGGCCTCTGGCTCAGGACAGACTGGCATACGTGTGTGTGCGCAGCTGCAGAGCCAGGAAATGCTACCTACCCTGCACACCCCTACCCGGAACAAACGGGAAGACAGCTATTGGCCTGCGGA